AAAAAAAAAAAAAAAAAACTTCATATACAATTGGTACTATTAGAATGAAACACTTATTAATATGTTCATTTTTTTGGTTCCTTGTCTCAAGGCAGATTTGAGCCCACGCCACGCCCCCGAGACTAGCCTAGACAACAAAACGATATTTTAAACAAAAAAAAAAAAAAAAAAAAAAAGTCAAAAAAATAAATACTGAAGAAAAACAATAAACTTCTACTTTTGTGAAGAACATAAAACAATTTGCAACTCACTTTTAATTTTGATGTCTTTTCATGAAGCATCAGCATCTCTTTTCTTATATTCACCAATTTGGCATGATAGTGTTTAGCCTCAGTGAACTTGACGTGGAAAAAAAATGAAGAGTCAAGTTAAAATGGACTGAAATATCAAAATGGATAAATAAGTCAACACCTATATTACAGTTCCTTCTTCCTAAATTGGTCAAATTTTTTTAGAGTCTTAATTATCTCCACATTTTAATTCCAAAATACAACTTTCATTTAAGCCAAGAGCAGAATTTTAAAAACATTTGATTCAGTTCAGATTGACAAAAAAGAGTTATTAAACATAAAATAGACATTTATATTAAATTGGATACAGACAACATTTTGCTTTAAAAACATGCAATATAATCCTAAAATTTCAGTAAGCCTATCCAATAATGTGATCAGTTTCATATAAGAAAAGTAAAACACTCTCTACTGCCTTTACAAGGGAGAGAGAATGAGCCAAGGTGCATGGGACAGTTTAAGTAAAGTGCCCATCAGGAAAACCCAAGGTGTGGCTAGAGAGCCCTGAGAGGACTGTGGACAAGTTCAGTTCTACTCCCTTGGGCTTCTGAAGTCAGACTAAATAGAACAACCTCTATGAGGACACTTTGCTTCCCAAGGAATTATAAGTACAGTCTTTGTATCTCAGCCTGTGCAACCTAAAATAAAGTTTCATGTCAGGAGAAGACGGGAGGATAATGCAGACCTACAGAAGTATGAGAGAAAAGGAACAAAGTAACAGAAAAAGAAGAAATAAGAGAAGTATCAGTAGAGAGATTTGCAACCTTTATATGGCTGCAAGCAAAGTCACAGTCTGGGCCAGGGATGGTGGCTCATACCTGTAATCCTAGCACTTTGGGAGGCCAGCATGGAAGGACTGCTTGAGCCCAGGAGTTCAAGACCAACCTGGGCAACATAGCAGGACCTCATCTCTATAAAAAATAGAAAAATTAGCCAGGCGGCGCACACCTGTAGTCCCAGCTACTTGGGAGGCTAAGGCAAGAGGATTGCTTGAACCCAGGAGTTTGAGGTTACAGTGAGCTATGATGACACCATTATACTCTAGCCTCAGCAACAGAGCAAGACCCTGTCTCAAGAAAAAAAGAAAAAAGAAAGTCATAGTTTGATGAGCTCTAGAACTTACAGAACCTCTTTATATTTCTCTGGGTCTTCATGGTTTTGGTTCCTAGATGATAATCAAAACCATTCTTGGCTGAGAGAAGAAAATAAGAGGAAGACTTCTTTCTGCCCTTTAGACTGAAGCAACAGTTATTACATCTGCTTGGTTCATTTATTCATTCAACAAACATTCCTTTTACTGCAATATGAACTCAGTGGAGAACACAAAAGTAGGTCAGTGTAGCCTTGCCCACCTGCTTCACAAGAAGTCAGGAATTACTAGACAGAAGACTCTGTTTACTATCACAGGCCTCTGTCCAATGCTAGAGAACATGGACTTTGTTTTTGACTGTTATAAAAGGAAAACATTAGTAAGCCACCTTTGTCCAATGGAAAGTTTGAAAGCCACCTTTGTCCAATGGAAAGTTTCCATTTTTTGAAATATATATGAATGGCTACAAAATCATGCAAACCAAGCTATTCTTAATGTTCAAGAGAAAAAGAAAGGTTCCTTAGAAAAGTTCCTTATTTTTGTTAATTTCGTGTTTCTTAAAATAAAGTGTATCAGTTCCTCTCATGAAAAAGCAATAGAGCTTCTGATGAAATTCAACTATTCAACTATTTATATTGAAAAATATAACTGATCACTCTCAAAGTGTCCATTTCAGCCCATGGTGCTAATGTATTATAGCATTATGAATATGCCATACAATTAAATAAAATGGTAATTTAAGAAACCATGTAACTGGTAAAGAGAGACGTACTTTCCTTAAAGGAAAAAATAGTACCTCAAAGCTTCCTTCCTTTCAGTTCTCTTTTCTAAGTCTTTAATTATGAACAGATCTATTCCAGACTCATAAATAGGTTCAATTTCCTACTACAAGTTCAACATTTGAAAGATAACAATTCAAAACAATGGAAGTTCTAGTAAGCAAATCAAGATTTCCTGTTAAAAAGGACTCTCAGTTTCATTTTAGGAAAGTAAAGCACTCTCCACTGCCACTACAAGGGAACCAAGCAAATATTGTTAACTGTTACTTCAATCTGAAGGGGCAGAATGGAGTCTTTCTCTCTTTTCTTCTCTCAGCCAAAAGTGGCTTTGATTATCATCTAGGAAATGAAAACTGGAAGGCCTAGAGAGATACAAAGAGTGTCTACAAAATCAGACTATGACTTTACTTGTGGCCACATTAAGATTGCAAATCTTTCTACTGACACATCTCTTCATTTCTTCTTTGTCTGTTACTTTGTCTGAAAATAACGTATTTTTTCCCTTCTCTCTTACGTCTCTAGGCCTGCATCCTCTTCCCATCTTTTCCTAACATGAAATTCTAAACTTTAAAAATGAGACAATAAGATCCTAAATATACATTTAAGTACCAAGTTGGGAGGATAAACCTAACTATTTCTAATATAAGATGTCATTAGGTTACACCAACAAAATCATACTCACCAAAGCATTAATATCCAACATAGAATGACATTCTTTAAATTTTGAAATCTCTTGTTCCAACGTATCTAATAATACAACTTGGTTCTGTCTGAAACAAAAGCACACAGCCAAAATAAATTCCACAGATTGTCAAGTGCTGGTTCATTAAAAAGAATCACATTCATCTTGGCTAATGCTAACAGTCAGAAATTAACTTGGAAATTTATTGACTCTCCACAGCTTATTTGGTTTAGCATAATCTTTTTCAAAACAATATTCCAAAGCTACATTCTGATAACTAAATGTGTCTTTTATTCTTGCCTCAATTTCAGATGCTAATAACTAAAATAATCAAATCATTTAAAAGTATCTTATTACTTGTTATTTTTAGCAACTCTATATATTCCAATACAGTTTTCTATGTTATTAATATTTTGCCCAAGAAACTCAATGTTTTATATATCTTAAAAGTACAACATTCCCATAAAGGAAATGAGGAGCAAAGACTAGAATTAGATTAGAATTAGAATTGGGAAAGATGGAGTATCAAGGGATAGTAAGTCAAAAGAGATAAATAAGCAGCAAGATGAAAAAAGCATAGGACTAAGAATCGCATCGCAAGCTTTCCCCTGCCAATAGCCAATGTGTGATCTTGGAAATTCAGTTTATTTCTCTGGCCCTAAAATCTCTTCTTCACTTATGAAGTTAAAAGGTCAAACCAGACAACTTGTTCCTCATTAAAATTCTGATTCAAAACCTACTGAGGAAGAGAAGCCAACTTCCCTGATATTCCTTTCGAGATCAATCAATGGCAGGATCACAAGAATAAGTGACACTAAAGCATCACATAATTGAATACCTTAAAGAACCCGACAAACAAAGAAAAATATGTGATTTGCTTGCAAAACTACGCTAAATAGAAAGCAATGATGAAAAAGAAATAGCAATAAAGAAACTTAAGTGCAATTACAACATCTTCACCATACAGTATTGAGTTTAGTATACCCTACAGGTCATAAATTTGTCCCTTCAGCTCAGGCTAGAGACCAGAGAAGGTGAAATACAGAATGGACGACAGGAAAACCCAGCAAGTCAACCATCCACGATAAGCAGGACAGAAAAACAGGCTGCTACAACTGGAAAACAATAGACAGAAAAAAAAAAAAAATCAATGAAACCAAAAGCTGGTTCTTCAAAAGATCGATAAAATAAACCAACCAAGAAAAAAGAGAAAAGACACAAATCACTAGTATCATGCATTAAAGAGTGGTCATGACCACTGATCCCAATGACATTTAAATAATAATAAAGGAATACTTTCAACAATTCTATGCTCACAAATTTGATAAGTTGGACTAATTCCCTGAAAGACACAACTACCAAAACTCATATAAGGAGAAACAGAAAATCTATGTCAGCCTATATTAGACAAATTGAATCAATAAGAACCTCTCAAAGAAAGAAATTACCAGGACCAGGCTTCACTGGTAATTTCTACCAAATATTTAAGGAAGAAATGATACCAATTCTCCACAATCACCTCCAGAAAATACAGTAGTTCCCCCTTATGTGTATGTAGTTTCTCTTTTTTTTATTTCGGTTATCCTGGTCAACCGCAGTCTGCAGAATATCATCCACATCATCACAAGACATGTGAGTACAGTACAATAAGAGATCCTGAGAGAAACAGAGACTATGTTCATATAACTTTTATTATAGTATATTTTTATAATTATTCCATTTTATTATTAGTTATTGTTGTTAATCTCTTACTGTGCCTAATGTATAAATTAAATTTCTTATGGTATATAAGTATAGAAAAAAAACACAGTATATACCAGTTAAGCATAGAAAAAAAACACAGTATATACCAGTTAAGCATTCCAAATCCCAAAATCTAAGACTTTTTGAGTGCAGAATGATACCACAAATGGAAAATTCCACACCTGTCCTCATGTGATGGGTCACAGTTAAAACATTGTTTCATGCACAAAATTATTAAAAATTGTATAAAATTATCTTCAGGCTATGCATATAAGGTATATATAAAATATTAATGAATTCCATGTTTAGGCTTAGCTCCTATCCCCAAGATATCTCATTACGTATATGCAAATATTCCCAAATCTGAAAAAATCCAAAATCTGAAACACTTCTGGTCCCAAGCACTTTGGACAAAGGATATTCAACCTCTATAGGGCTCAGAACTATCCAGTTTCAGGCATCCATCGGGGGTCTTGGAACATATCTCCATATGATTAAGGAGGACTATACAGAAGCAAAGGGAGCACTTCCCAACTCATTCTATGAGGCTAGCATTACCCCCAAACCAAAACCAGATAAAGACATTACAATAAAGGACGACTATAGACCAATCACTCTCATGAACATAGATGCAAAAATCCTCAACAAAATATTAGCAAATTGAATCCAATAATGTATAAAAAGAATTATATATCACAATGAAGTGGTATTTATCACAAGTATGTAAAGCTAATTTAACATTTGAAAATCAATCAATACAACCTACCACATCAGTGAAGAAGAAAAATTGTATCAATCGATGCAGAAAAAGCATTTGACAAATGCTTTTTCCATCACCCATTCCTGATTAAAAACACTCTCAGCAAACTAAGAAGACAGAGGAACTTTCATAACTTGATAAGAAAAACCTAAAAACCCTAGCTAACATCACACTTATGGTGAGAAACTACATACTTTCCCTCTAAGATCAGGAGCAAGGCATGTCCCCTCTCACTATTACTATTCAACTCCTATTCAACATCATACTGGAAGTCCTAACTAAGGCAATAAGACAAGAAAAAGAAATAGCAGGTATATAGATTGGGGAGGAAGAAATAATACTGTCTTTGTTTCCAGATGATTTTCTATGTAGAAATTTCCAAAGAAACAACAAAAAACTTCCTGGAACTAATATGCAAATATAGCAGGGTTGCAGGATACAAGGTTAATATACAAAAGTCAGTTGCTTTCCCATGTATGTACCAGCAATGAATTTGAAATTTAGAAAACAATACCATTTATAATTGCTCTCCCTCCAGAGTGAAATACTTTGGTAATAAACAAAATAAGTACAGGATCTATATGCAAAAGCTAGAAAACTCTAATAAAAAAAAACAAATAAGATCTAAATAATAGAGAGATATTCCAAATATATGGATTAAAAGACTCAATATTTTTTAAGATATAAATTCTTCCCAACTTGATCTAAAGATTCAATGTAATCCCAATCAAAATCCCCAACAAGTTATTGTGTAGATATTAACAAACTGTTCTAAAGTTCATACGGAAAGTCAAAGACCTAGAATAACCAACACAATACTACAGAACGAAGTTGGAAGATCTACAGTACTCAATATCAAAACTTAGTATAAAGCTACAGAAGTCAAAACAGCATAATACTGGTGAAAGAACAGGCATATTGATCAATGGGACAGAAGAGAAAGCCTGTAAATAAACCTACACAAATAAGTCAACTTCTCTTTGACAAAGGAGCAATGGCAATGCAGTGGAGAAAGGATAGTCTTTTCAACAAATGATGCTGGAGCAACTGGATGTCCATATGCAAAGAAATAAACCTAAACACACACCTTACACCCTCCATAAAAATTAACTTAAAATGGATCAAAGATCTAAATGTAAAATGCGAAGCTCTAAAACTTCTAGAAGAAAACATAGGAGAAAATCTAGGTGACCTTGGTCTGGTGATGAGATACAATACCAAAGCACAATTCATGAAAGAAAAAATTGATTACTTTTTTCTTATTTATTTATTAAATTTAAAATTTTATTAAGATTAAAAACTTCTACTCTACAAAAGACACTGTTAAGAGAATAAAAAGATGAACTACAGACTTGGAGAAAACATTTGTAAAACACATAAAGGACTTGTATATCAAAAATATACAAAAAAAAACTCTTAAAATTCAACAATAAGAAAATAAACAACCCAATTTTAAAATGAGCAAAAGACCTGAACAGACATCTGTTATATAATAAAGAATTTGTCTGATCTTTGTCCCAGGTTTCAGTCACAGAGCTTCTAAAATCCTTGGAATTTCCCAAATAATAGGAGTATCTTTGTTATTCATGAGCTCCTTGGAATTTCCCATGTGATAGGAGTATCTTTGTTATCCATGAGGTTTTTGTTATTCATGAGCTCCTAGGATCATACTTGAGTTTATGCTAATGAGGTAACTCAAGGTGGCACTACCTCTCCACCTCCAGCAGCTTCAGGATCAGGGCTGGTCAAGCCAGAAACCAACCAAGTGATTAGAGGAGGGTTGGGGATTTGAGCCATGAGACATCAGTCCAACATCTAGGGAGGGGAGGGGGCTGAAGCTTGAGTTCAATTAATTACATGGCCAATGATTCAATCAGTCATGCCTAACTAATGGAGCCCCAGTAAAAACTCTGGACACTACAGCTCAGTAGAGCTTCCTGGTTGGTGAACACACTGACGTGCTGGGAGGGTGACATGCCCTAATTTCACTGAAAAATGACACAGAAAGAAGCTCTGTGTTCATAACCCTTAGACCTCACCCTATGTGTCTCTTCATTTAGCTAACTCTGATCTGTGTCCTTTAAAATAACACTGTAATTGTGCTTTCCTGATCCATAAGTCTAGTCACTCTTGAAGAAGGTTCCAGAGACTGTTTAGCTGAAATACAGTGGGGCAGAAAAGATTACTGAACTTCCATTCCCTTGAAGCTTTGTATAATCTGTGGTAAATATGCTGGGAATGTTTGGAAGCATTGATGCAGTATCCGAGGAACAATCCTCTGAAAGAAAACCTATTTCCTTAGGAGGTCCAAGCCTGGATTATCTCAAAGGGAGCTCCATAAAGGCCACTCACAATTGCACCTCCCTAGCTGCTTTAGGGGCTTGGATCCAAAAACCTCCTTTTTTTACTTGCTGATAATAAATAAATAAATACAATAAAATAATAAATACAGATAAAATAATTAATAATAATATATAATAACAAAATAATAAATACAGATAAAATAATATTTAGAATACTCTTATAGAGAGAGCTAAACTGTATTCTTGGTCTTCCTTTCCAATGGGTAAAATTGTTAGCTACAAAATAAAATTAACTTCTATCTACCACTACCTTCTCCTTTACCTCTGGGGGCCTCTGTTCCTACAATGATGAAGTGGCTTACCAAAGGTCTGATGGCAGAGCCAGGTCTAGAACCCAGGTGCCTCTCGGTCCAGAACTCTTTCACCTACGTCTTTATAAATATTGCAATTTGTGGAGAGGTGGAGGAAAGAGGCAGCTATTAGGAAACATTTCTTTTCCTTTCTCTGAATTTGCTTACCTTTCCTTAACACACAAGAAATATAATAACTACTAATTCATCATATTCAATAGTTAATTCTACCACACCACCTGCGCAATCTTTTTCAAGTTACTTAATCTCTCTGAGCTTCGGTTTCATCAACTGTAAATGAGGATAATATTAGATACTCCATAAGGTTGGTGTGAGGATTGAGACATGTTAAAGTGCTGGGCAATTAGTATATATAGTAGTAAATAGTAGCTGATTTTACTATTGTTATCATTATTGCCTAGGTGCCTAGAAAGATAAGTGAAATCATTCAAAACACAATATCATCATCAAATTCTGCACTTAAACCTTAATGCCTAGCTTCTGACAAGTAAAGTATTATCCAGATAAGTTTTGCTTGCAAAGTTTCTTACCTTCCTTCGGTCTATCACCTCATCCAAACTCCCCCATAAAATCTTATGACTTTTCTGCCACAAGGATTGACTGGCATCAAAATACAAGGTATACCATGTGCTAGGGATAAAAAAATCTCACCTGGAACTAGCAGAAAACTGAGAATGTTGCCCACTCCCTAACTATAGTAGTGTACATGTAGTCTTAGAACTCAGTACTATATTTATATTCATTTAGCACCTTAACACCAAGGAACATAACATTCACTATTAATAATTACTAAATGGGCATAGTTGTTGATCATTCCTCTCCTTTTCCCCTAAAAAAGGCCTCTGAAGTAAGTTTTCAAAGTGTAGGTCTTAGAGCAGCAGCAGTTTATAGCCAGTTTAAAGCTGACCACCACAGAAAGAAATGACAGACAGGCCAGCCTGGGTAATTCACAGAGTCCCTGACCCAGGAAGAGACAGAAGCTAAGTCTGTTGTCTCTGGATAGGAGCTCATAAAGTCAGAGTGTGTATTTTTGTATCTTGATCCCATTCTATGGGTTCTGTTCTACCTTACTGTGTTCCTCTCTTAACATATCTTCTAAGCCTTTATTTAGCTAATAGAGTCATCACTAGGAATGAAACAATCATCTGAAAAAAGATACTTAAGGATCTCTGGCAACTCATTTGAACCAGCAATTGAAAACAAGTGTGACTTTTATGGAGGCAATTTTTCAACTCTACTAAAAAATACGTGTATACCCACCCTGCAATAATACCTAATAAAACACCAGAACTAATCACAGGATCTAGGTAAGATTTCAGGGTACTTTTTAGAAGAGATCAAACAGTGTAGGAGTACTCATTTCACTTTTTACATTTACATTCTAACATACTGCTCTACTCCCATTTGTTATCACTAAAGAAACAGAAGGCCAGGCACAGTGGCTCACGCCTGTAATCCTAGCACTCTGGGAGGCCGAGGCGGGCGGATTGCTCGAGGTCAGGAGTTCGAAACCTGAGCAAGAGCGAGACCCCCTCTCTACTATAAATAGAAAAAATTAATTGGCCAACTAATATATATATATAAATTAGCCGGCATGGTGGCACATGCCTATAGTCCCAGCTACTCGGAGGCTGAGGCAGAAGGATCTTGAGCCCAGGAGTTTGAGGTTGCTGTGAGCTAGGCTGACGCCATGGCACTCACTATAGCCTGAGCAACAAGCGAGACTCTGTCTCAAAAAAAAAAAAAAACACAGAAATACTCAATTATGATTTAATGTTATAAAATATTATACAGTACACAATCATACAGTAAATTATGACCATGCCAGAGAGGAAATGAACACATAGCTGTTTTTTTGTTAGCTTACGTGAGTTCCTGGAGGGCTTGTTTTGATCTCTGCAGATCTGGCAAATAATGAGAAAGCAATCCTTCTGCCAGTTGCTCCACAGCTTTGTCTTCTACAGGCAAGTCATCTATTAACCCTTCATCTGGAGAAGTGTCACTTAAACCTGTTTCCAAGCAAAAATCAAATTTAGGAAGCTTTTAAATTGACATAGGTACTAAAAGGACATTGGGAGTAGTAGGTAGGAAGAAGGCCCACAGCGGGGCTGAGAGCACACACACCCACTCTCACAACTATAGGTACCCTTTTCTTTTACCTTCTGAGCCTCCTCTAAAAAATGGGTTATGAGCACTCAAAAAGAGTTTTTAAGCTACTAATATAAGCTAAAGCCTAAGGTAAGAGAACATTAACATATGTTCTTTTAAAATTCTGTATGTTTATGTATTTTTCAGGGCAAAGGATTTATTGTTTACAATGCATTATTAAATGAGGCTCAGGCTGAAAAGTGGATAACAGGTAACAAACTAAAGCATTCTCGCTTTCAAAAGCATGTAGAAATTATATAAACAAAAATGTAATGCCTAAATATATGTTTTCATTTCTATGGGAAAAAATATAGGTCAACATTTATTTTGCACAGAGCTTTACACATAAAAGGGGTTTTATTATTAATAAGTGTTAGGGAGGAGATGAAAGATTTTCTTAAGATTCAGCACCTTAATTTACCATAGAAAATAATGTATAATAATTGCCTTGTGTGTAAACCTAGACCTGATGCTAGGTACAATCCCCCATCCTTTTCATTTGAATAATAACAGTGTAAGCACTGTGCCAGGTATTCAAAAATGTCTAAGATGAATCACTATTCCTACAAAAAAAAGTGAAAAACAATTTCTAAATAGAGTTCAATTAATAGTTTGTAAGATTTTAGAATCATTCATCTAGAATGAGAAAAAAAGTAAAATGGTTACTAAATTTACTAAAATTATACTCTAAAATTGATAAATATTAAACTCTGAAATATCTCTCTACAATCATAGTCTGGTAACAATCAGTAACATCAAATGAGATCACAATATAGAACACATTTATCACAACACACTGCTTACAGCACATTCTAGGTATGGTTTTTGCCACAGATTTAAACTTTCACAAGATTGAGGAAAACAACATGCTCTCATACTCAAAATAAGCTTCTTAAAAAAATCAAAATAAAATTGATACGATTTTTATTTTAACCCTGAGAAACAGATGAATAAACTCTGAACTTCCCAAAGTGGCAAGGCTACATTGAAACAAAATGAGAGTTAACTAGAAACTGAAGCACTCCACACATAAAATAAAAATATAAAGGGGGGCTGGGCGCAGTGGCTCACGCCTGTAATCCTAGCACCCTGGGAAGCCGAGGTAGGAGGATCACTCAAGGTCAGGAGTTCGAGACCAGCCTGAGCAAGAGCAAGACCCCCGTCTCTACAAAAAAAATAGAAATTGATCGGCCAACTAAAAATATATATAGAAAAAATCAGCTGAGCATGGTGGTGCAAGCCTGTAGTCCCAGCTACTCAGGAAGCTGAGGCAGGAGGATCACTTGAGCCCAGGAGTTGGAGGTTGCTGTGAGCTAGGCTGATACCATGACACTCTAGCCTGGGCAACAGTGAGATTCTGTCTCAAAAATAATAATAATAACAATAATGGGAAAAGTAGAGCACTTAAGTATATTATGCCACTGATGTACCATCAGATGCGGAGTGAATAAATTATATCTACCAACTAAGGCCATTGCTTAAGGCTCGATCACAATAACAGTACAAACAGCAATTTTATTTAAGTAAATAAAACGTAAGTATTACAGATAAACAGAAACACTCACATAAGGATATTTCAACTTTAAGGAATAACAACTAATGCATTTCACTTATAATATGTTACACATTTTAACTCACAGGCACTCCTCTCCCTCCCCAATCTTCTGGTTAATAATTGGACAAGTCTCCGTTACTCATGTTTTTTTTATATCTTTAGTTACTAAGTTCAAGATATTTTATTGTGGGAGATTAAAGAAGAAAGGGTCCTTAGCCTATTCACACAAGAAACATTTGCTGAATGTCTATATTACTAGGTTCTGAGGTTACAACAATAAATAAGGCAAGTTCCCTTCCTTGAAAGACCACAATACAGGGGAATCATAGAATATGAGAAGTGCCATTAGGGAAACAGACACCATTATGAAAATTCAGGGGAGAGAGATGACTTTCACCAGGGATAACTAGAAACAATTCCTAAAGGAAGTATGGCCACTAGAGCTGAGGCTTGAAGAATGGATAGAGTTTTCATTTCTTTTTCTTTTTAAGTGTTGCTCACTGTAAAAACTTAAAACTCTACAAAGGAAGGCACAAAAAAGTAAAAATACTCCTTCTTACCCCCTAACTCCAATAGGAGTCACTCTCGAGTTTCCTTACAGAGCCTTGTAGAAAGTGCCTGCAAATTCACACATACACTGCCTTTACCACAAATGAAATATTACTCAGACCATTCTTCAACTTTTTAAATACATACTTTAGATATCTTTCCATATGAACATACATAGAACTACATTTTCTTTTTTTAAATTAAATTAAGCTCTCAAACTTGTCCACATTGAACATTCTTTTTAACAGAATAGAACTTGACCATTGTTGGAACAGAATTCGACCAGTCCCCTATAGATGGGTTATTTAGGTTATTTTCACTTTTTGCTATTCAAACAATACTGCAGTGAGCTTCCTTGCTTATCTTTGCATGTTTGTGTTACTGTTTCTGTAGGATAAATTCTTAGAAGTAGACTGTTGGGAGAAAGTGTTTATGCATTTTCTTTATTTTTCTTTTTGACTCAGAGTCTCCCTCTTGTTGCCCTGGCTAGAGTGCCATGGCGTCAGCCTAGCTCACAGCAACCTCAAACTCCTGTGCTCAGGCGATCCTCCTGCCTCAGCCTCCAGAGTAGCTGGGACTACAGGCATGTGCCCCATGCCCGGCTAATATTTTTTCTATATATTTTTAGTTGGCCAATTCATTTCCTTCTATTTTTAGAGATGGGGTCTCGCTCTTGCTCAGGCTAGTTTCAAATTCCTGACATTGAGCAATCCTCCCACCTCGGCCTCCCAAAGTGCTAGGATTACAGGCGAGAGCCACCGCACCCAGCTGTTTATGCATTTTTAAACAGATGTTGCAAAATTGCTCTAAGAGATGGCACCAGTTTACACTTCCACCAACAATCTGTGAGGACGCTTTCCAAATGGAGATGAAAACTGACAGGAGAGGAAGGAATATGACATAAGTAAAGGAAGCAGCATGAAGAAAGGTGGGCATACAGTATAGGATTGCTCTAGAAGGGGGAGGTATCTGGAGCATGGGATGTATGTATACTAGCATAGCAATAGTGAACTATAAGACCATGGGGCCAGCCTATGAGGGTCTATGAGTACCAAGTTAATAGGTCTGAATCTTTGTTAGTAAGCAGTGAGGAGTCATTTAAGGCTTCCAAGCACAGGAAAATGACAAGACTGGAGCTTCACCTTGGAGCAGTGATGTGACAGCAGTGGGACAGATAGATGTGTTGAAATAAGAGACTGGAAGTGGGCTAGCCTTACAACTGCTGTTTTAAGGGTGAAATTACAAAGAGGAGATGGAAAGTGTATAGTGGAATCCCCTAAACAGAGGTGGAAGAAAAGAGAAAGAGTCCAGAGTGACTTCTAAGTTTCAAGTCGGAGTGACTTGGCACCATTAACAGACTCAGACATCTGTTTTTATTTATGTACATGCTGTATGTGAGATTAGTGCAAAACCACCCTGTCAAAATATCCAGAAAGCAGACAGAGGAGCAAGCAAGAGTTAGGAGAAGGACTCAAGTTGCAAATATATACAAGGAAGTCATATTTACAGACGTGACTCACAAAGCTGTAAAGAGGAGACCCCTGAGGAAAAGCATGACCAGGAAAGTGGTAAGAGTACTATTTTGAGGTAACTCCTGTATTTCTGAAACAGAAGGTAAAAGAAAAGGCAGATCCAAAGCCCTGTAGCTTTTCTCCTCTAGGGTTCCTCATTAGAACCACAGGACACAGAAAATACTCTGAATGACTATTTTCTCAATTCTCTCAAGGATGGTCGTAAGTAGTAATGTTCTGGATGCATAGCAAGTTCATTGATTCCATTCAATGGGTGCCTTCGGCTTAAATCGCTCCTGGACTTGGGTTGAGAGAGACTGCTGGAGAAATAGGGTGAATTAATGTCACCAATGTCACAGAGCATTTCACAGTAAGTGGTCAATACCGCATACATCACTTCTCTGAATTATAAACTGATCATCTTTCTGGTGAATAATTGGTCCCTAACCACTACCCTATGACAAATAGCCAGCGATGTGCTGAGTCAACAAACTCAGAATGACTTCATCAACCGCCTCCAACTGCACTCCAGTATACCTCTTTTCCAAGGGACTTGGTTCCCGCCCATTCCTCCAGGCAGGGGGGCCGGCGTAGTCCCCTACTTCCGCGCGAGGCCACAGTCACTGGGCCGCAGCTGCCGCAAGCGGCCAACTCCCACAGGGTGGCTCCGGAGTCCCACCCACTCAGGTCCCGGCCGCTAGCACCCAACCCCGGCCGCCGGTCCCGCCAGACAGCACATACCCGGCGTCGGCTCCCCGGCCTCCAGACTATTGGGTGGCCTTGTGAGGACCCCATCCGGGGACGGCGGCCCAGGGACACTCATGTCCCTCCGGCTGGGAACAGGGAAGACACAACCGTTTGGACAGTCAGATACAAGAAGGAAGAACCCAGTGTCTCCAGCGCTCCGCCGGACCAAAGCGGCGGTCACACCCGGAAGTGACGGAGGCGGAAACCGACAGACTCGGGTCCCGTGGTCAAGGGTTGGCTCGCCCCTTTAGCGCCGCTGGGGTCCCGCGCTGACGTCATGATCAAGTCCCACCCACGTCAGTAGACTCATCTGTGCGGGTTCGGGTCCCTGGGACCCGATGGGTGGGAGTTGGGGCGAGGGCGGTGGTGAGTTTGGGCTCTGGGTCGCCAAGACTGGCAGAGCGTTGTTTTTGTTGTGCGCAGGCGAACAGTCAGGATTTGTCCACTGGGACTAGGTAGAAAAACGGGACTTCAGCCCTGTCGCAGCACAGCTTTTTGGTGTTGCCTCGGTGTTAAGGGAGAACCTTAAGAACGGAGACTGCGCTTTCCCTGCGATTTGGACCTTTAAAAACTTGGGTGGCTGGCTGTCTGTGAGACTCAGTCTCGTTTGGCCATGATTACTTTACCCCCCATGTTAAATGTAGATGAATGAATGAGTTAAAGCCTCCGTTGTAGCATCTACCGAACAAATTCAGGCAAATTACTGGAAGCTGCGCTTGCTGAGATCCTGTGGGATGATGTCATGAGTTTTGATGGAAAACACTTGGAAATGGACAGAGACAGCCTCACACCAAATAAAACTATCCGCTATGCCTTCCGTACCTTAGACGCTCTCACGATGTAGATGTGGTGGCTCTTAATGTTGCTTCCTGATTTCGCCTATTCAAACACTTTTCTGTGCTGCAAAGCTGTCTTCAACAAAATTAAAATTTGTATCCAAGCCTCAGAAACTTGTACCAGCTCCCCATTGCCCTTATCAATGCATTCACACCCCTTCTCTTTTGGCCTCTCAAGATAAACAACTCCTTACTACTGTGAATTAAAAATCTTAAGGCTCCTCCTGGCTACTGACTGAATGGTCTCCCTTGGCTAAGAGGATACCCTAAAACTGAATTGCCTGCCATGAGGGAGGTCAGACATTCCTCATCATGGCCCCCTTTGCTTCTTGGAAATATCCCTTGTAACTCATTAACAGGCCTAAGGCTATTCAAGACAAACCTGCAAGTCCTCAATTTACACAATAAATATATGTCTGGTAGCTTGTCTCTGTTTAACAGACTTCCCTGAAAACATTCCAAGCCTTGAAACAGAAGCTTCATTTTTTAACCAAATACAAGTCAGAGTCTTTAAACCCACCTATAACCTGTAAGCCCCCCACTTCAAGATGGCGCACCTTTTCCAGCCAAACCAATGTATGCCTTCCATGTACTTATTTATGACTTTACCTGTAATCTCCATCTCTGTGAAACGTATAAAACCAAACTGTAACCGAACCATAGCGAGTCCACTTGCTCATGATTTCTTGGGTGTGGCTTTGCATCATGGTCCTCCAATGTGGCTCAGAATATACCTCTTAAAATTATTTTACAGTTTGGCTGCTTTTCCATTGACACTACCTGTGGTAGGCAGAATAATGGCCCCTCAAAGATGTCTACAGCCTAAACACCTGACACCTATGATTATGTTAAGTTGCATAGCAAAGGGGAATTAAGGTTGCTAATTATCTGATTTTAAATTAGATTATCCTAGATGATTGCATTGAGCCCAATGTAACCACAAGGGCTTTTAAAACTGGAAGAATGGACAAAAGAAAGTCAAGAGGGAGGTGTGACTATGAAGAATGATTAGACAGATGCAACGTTGCTGGCTTTGAAGACAGAGGCAGGGACCCTCCAACCAACCTTGTGGGTGACTTCTAGAAGCTGGAAACAACAAGGAAAATGATTCCACCCCTGCCCCCCCCCTGCCCCATCCTTTCTAATGGAACTCAGCCCTACCTGCACCTTGATTTTATCCCAGTGAGTCCTGTGTTGGACTTCTGACCTATAGAACTGTAAGATAATAAATTTGTGTAGTTTTAAGTTTGTAGTAATTTGTTACCACAGCAATAGGAAAATAATTCACAATCTTTCAAACATCTTTTATTTTATCTGAGCACTCTGCTAAAACTATGCCCTTTCATGTCTTCAGTGCTGTTGTTCACGCTTCAGCTTGGAATAATCTATTCTTTTCAAAGTCCTCATCTTTCAAGGTTCAGCCTAAATAATATCTTTACCTTAAAATCATTGAAGATCTCACTTCTTTCATTCAGAAGTTACAGTAATAACCTTTTTCAACTACAAAGCATCCTGCTAGTTAGCACTTAATCCATTCTTGTATTAGTTATTCCCCTTGTCTTTCTCGATTAGATTGTAAACTCCAAACAGAAACTCTTATTCACAGAGAACCATAATAGGTTCTCTCTCAATAAATATTGGGTGAATGAACGAAGTATTGATTCTCTAGCCACCCAGTTCCAAATATGTATAATCTCCAATGTCTGAATCACACAATATGGCACCTGATAAACTGCCTGGTAACCTGTAACTACAAGACCAGCTCAAACTGATTAACCATGGCTTAAGTACCTAACACATGGCGCAGAGCCAAAATCCCAAGTCATGTTGCCCAGGTATGCGCAGAGAGAAAAAGCTTTAACCTCCTAATTGCTAATACCACCAGCCTGGCAGACCAGCTGCATTTTCATCACCTGAGACTAGTTAGAAATGCCATAAAAGCTTGACCCACCCCCCCCAGATGAAGAAGAAAGATTTCAGCGTTGCTTCCTGTCTCCTGGTCAGTCAACTCACAATAAAGCTTTTTCTTTTTTCAAAAGCTAGTGCCTCAGTATTGGCTTCTCTGCATGTCGGGCATTGAGCCCGTTGCTTGGTAACCACCTTACTTGGTTGCTAGTGTTAGCTTCCAACTACGTAGTAAGACTCTTTAGACCCACGTCCTGTGGGTTGTCTGTACTTCTTCATCTCTTAGCACGGCATTAAGCATATTACATGGATTTAAAAATACCTGGTTCCTCAAATTTGATGAATGAAATTAAACTGCTACACCCTGCCTATTTTTATCATCTTCCCCATTTTGTTTTAAGGAAAAATTCATGTTAGAAATTTGATGTTCTTTTTCAGCATTAACTTTACTTAATGTGACAAAAACTAATCAGCTAAATAGACAAGGAGGACTTTCTACCAGACCCATCTTGCTTTTATCTTTCTCCCTTTTCTTCTTTACCCCCACAGATTTCAGCTCAATGCATCAGTGCTTGTGGGAGTGCCCTCTGTGTTCCAGTCTCCATTAAATGGCTACTTTGCACCTAACATAACATTGCATGTGACAGAGCTCATAAACAAGATGTTGGAATTTGATCTCAAGAAAGCAAACACAGTTTGTTGAGTTTTATGTCTTTCAAAATGTCTTTCATCTCCCCCATTCTCTTTTATGCACCAAAGTTAGAATCCACTCCAAACATCTGAATACCTAGGACAGAACTAGGCACGGTAGGAGGTAAAAAAAAAAAAATCCCAATTCCTGTTCACCAAGAATGTATATTCTATCATTTATACACAGCAGAATTAGTGAACATGACAATAAAAAAGTGCTCAATTATGTGGAACAGACCTAGAGGAATGAAAAGGACATGATGCCATATTTCCTATGGCTACTATAACAAATTACTACAAACCTAGTAGCCTAAAACAACACAATTTTATTATCTTAATAAAATCTTAGAGCTTAGAAGTCTGAAATTGTGCTCAATGGGCTGTAATCAGGGTGTCAGCAGAGCTGCTTATTTGTGGAAGTTCTAGGGAAGAATCTGCTTCCCAAGAATTTGCCTTTCCCAGCTTCCAGAGGTTGCAGCTTTCCTTGCTCATGGCCCCACATCACATGGCCTTTTCTCCCCCTGCTTCCATTGTCACATCACTTCCCTCCCACTCTGATCCTCCTGCCTGCCTTATATAAGAAGCCTTGTGATTACATTAAACCCACTTGAATAATCCAGGATAATCTCCCCATCTCAAGGCCCTTAATTTAATCACATCTGCAAAGTTTCTTTTGCAATTTAAAAGTAGCATTCATTGATTCCAAGGACCTGAACGTGGTCATCTCTGGGGGGGAGGCCATTATTCAACCTATCTCAGATAATTGTGTGGTGCACAATTAGGAAGTAACTAGAGAAAGTTTTAAAACTTAATAGAGGATATGGGACTTAAGCCATACCTTGAAGGACAGGTAAAATGTAATCTGTAAGAGTAAAACTAGTAAAAGTCTTCCAGGCAGGAAAAAACACTGTGAGTAGCAAAAATATATTTCAGATTCAAGGGCATCAGGCACTAACTGTGCTGAGTAACACAGATTAAATGGTTAGTAGAAGAATCTAATGGAGAAAGGTATTACATAGTCTGTTAGACTAAAAGAATTTAAGAAGACAAAAGATAACACAGAATGTAGTCATACAGTTGTAATAAGTTAGTTCAAAGAAACCCTACCTAGAAAGAGTTAAATACTGTGGATAGATAGATAGATAGAGAGATATTCATAGCAAAATAAATGCCATTCAATTTCAAGGACTTTGAAATCTGAAAGAGGAAGAGCAAATATAATGTAATAAATACATCAAAACTGCTATTCCGCTTTTCATTTTTGCTGTTTTCTTTAAATTTTCCTATATCCTTTATTTTTTCTAGCCTAATGGAAGAAGATAGGTAAGAGATTCAAGTAAAGAAAAAAAGCATTATTCCATGAATATTTTCTATTCCTTTTATGGATCAGATGTCCTATATTTAGAATGTGCTAAGATTTGGTAAAAGTCTACTCTGTTTAACCTACTTCTCTCACAGGCATTCATTTCTATCCTCCCCTTTATCTTGCTCTCTCCATCCTTTTCCAAGAAAAAGAGAAAGAATTGAGAGGGGGACAAAGTACTTGAGTGAGAAAGATGTAAGGACTAAGGATGCAGAGAAAAGGGATGGGAAAGAGGAATATATATAGGAGAAGGATATAACAGCCCATGACCTTATACTTCCAGTGTATTAATATATTGAAAATATGAACACATTCATATAGGGTGACACTTTTGCAAAATAATTAAAAGGAAGGAGGGGAATTGTGGGTATAAAATCAAGGAAATTAAGGCA